CTACCATTCATAACATCTTCCTACATTCAGGTGAGACCTTTCGCTAACATGGCTCCGACGATGATCGCGAATTGCGACGGGCTCAAAACCGGAACCGGTTGCTTCGATATTGTGAGTTGTTCTGCCCTCCAGCCTCCTAAGCTACCGTCAGCTTGACGGCATCTAAGTCGAAAAGATATTGTTTCTTGAAGAGGAAAATTTCCAAATCAAAATGGACACATAGTTTAAAACGTTTTGAGTCACTACCACGGTTCATTTGTTGTTGCAGATGGTAGTGCGTGCCAAGGGGGGGGGGCTGTGTTTAGCGCGGCGGCACTCTGTTTTGCACCAATTTTTGTGGCTCGACCCATTCCAAGTAATGGTGGAGAAGTTGCCGGTGCCTCCCTAAACCAGCAAGACTGGTTCTGCTTTTAAGAATGCTGCGTTCCAACCACAGCCCTCAGTCCTTCCACCAATGACGTTGGCAGCAACCGACCGCCTTCAGGCATCATGCCCATTCCTTCCAAAGACAAACTGTACATCCGTAGTGCCTCGCCTAATCCTTGCCATATGCGACGTGAATAGGTTTAAAGCTGCAATAGCACATCACTTTTTCGCTAAAAAATGCGCGGAAACGAGCAATAGGGTGAAGATATAAGAGTCGTGCCCATACTCCTCCAGCGCTATCCTCAAGGTGCAACGAGTGACACGCATTCAGCAGTAGAGAAGAAATAGAAGTGGGAGGGCAAAGGCAAGTAGCGCGTTTGGCTGTGATCAGGCGTGTGGCTGACCGTGCAGCGTCGGGAGGGCTGGAAACGGTATTCGGGTGCCGCTACCGTACAACTTAGTCCCTCCCTGTGTACTTTTGATCGTGACATACTACTGCAGCTGCGGGCTCATTCTCCCCACACACGGCACGGACCGTAATCCACGAAGAGTGAATGTAAATACATTTATTTTGAATCCCATTACATTTCGATTAATGAGTTTTCCATTCTATTCAGCAGCTACGCCTTGGTAAAAGAGATTATACTTTTTGATACCATCTATTAGTTTCTGAGATAAAATGCATTTTCAGAACGTCACTGAAGTATTAACGTCATTCTGGCCATCGGTCGATGGTAATTTGCCTCTCGATGAGCCACTTTGTGGATACAGGTGCGTAATGACACACGATTTTTCCGATGTTTTCGAAAAATACCAAAGATGAAAAACTCGCAACAATCTTTCCCGAGCAGCCAGGGTATTTATGAAACTTGTTATACTGCTGGGGCGTCAGGGAAATCAGTCTCAATGTTGTACAGCGTTCCACCTCCCCTGTGCAGTTAGGAGAGCGGAGGGAACCATCTTCCTACCAACCACTACATCTACTAAAATGCATATGTGGCTTTGAGGGGGTGTGGCAATTCTACCGTGGATTGCCGCAGTGGTGGGCCCTGCGACTCCACAGTCTTGGGTACGAGCAGTGTTGTCTGATCGTTCAAATTTTAGAGAAATTAATTCCATTGCTACTCCAGAGAACAAGCCACGAGTAGGAGCAAATTTCCTCCCCCAAAGACAATTTGTGTGAATTAGGTAACGCAACTCTTACATTGCCGCGCATCTCGCGGGCAATGCAAGCCGGTTATCATGGCTTCTACTGGCCCAGTAGTTGAAGGGAGAAGGCAAAGGAGGAGGAAAGAGAGAAGGAAGGGAGGAAAAGAAGTAAGGAGGAAGAGTCCAGCTTCTCTCTTCATAAAACTCGGCATTATTGTGAACTTAGAAGTTGTAATGTTCTGCCAAAGAGGTTGGTAGGTGGAAGACTTTATTATAAATGGCCTGACGTTTCGACAGGATCGTCGACATCAGAGGCCCGTCCACCAAATGAGCGGAACGATGCCATTTGCTGTTAGACTATGACTTACTAACTAACAACTAACAGCGAGTGGCATCGTTCCGCACGACGATCCTGTCGAAACTTCAGGCCATTTATAATAAAGTCTTCCACCTACCAACCTCTTTGGCACAACAAATTACAATTTAAGGAGGAAGAAATAAGGAAAGAGAAGGAAGTCCTCACGGTGGACAAGTACCCTAAAACGCTAGCTAGCTTCCGCAAGGTTCGCCTTCTAAGGAAGAAGACTGTGGAGTAGCAAGACTGAAACTACGATTTTCTCGAAGTTTTCTCCTTTTCCGAGTTTTTCCTTACCTACGTTCACTTGAAAAATTCCTCAAAAAAGGTCCCTGAAATGTTTTCAGTCTTGTAAATACAATGACAATCCGATAAATAACTCCTGATATGAAGCTATTTAGAGGGCAGAAATGCGACTACACATTGATTATCGTGGCTG